GGGAAATTTCTTCCCCAAAGGGTTCTCAGGGCCTGGCAGGGGCTGCCCAGGGCGGGGCTGGAGTCCCCATCCCTGGAGGGGTTCCCAAACCGCGTGGATGTGGCACTTGGGGCCGTGGTTTATGGCCATGGTGGGGATGGGTTGGGTCGGGTTGGACTGGGTGATCCTGGGGGTCTCTTCCAACCCCAGTGACTCTGCTGAGGGGTGCAGTGGGGTTATCGGGATCCCCCCACCTCCATCCCCAGACCACACGCACTGGTGGCTGGATCTGACCTCCTCGTTGCCCTTCTTCCTCCTCCTTCTTCCTCCTCTTCCTCCTTCCTTCTCCTCCCTTCCTCCTCCTCCTCCTCTTTCCTCCTCCTCCCTCCTCCTTCCTCGTCTTCCTCCTTCCTCCTCCTCCCTTCCTCCTCCTTCCTTCTCCTTCCTCCTTCTGCCTCCCTCATCCTCTTTCCTCCTCCTCCTCCTTCCTCCTTCTTCCTCCTTTTTCCTCCTTCCTTCCTCCTCCTTCCTCCTCCCTTCCTCCTCTCTTCCTCCTACCTTCCTCCTTCCTCCTCCTTCCTCCTCCTTCCAGTGCACTCCCTGGAAGGACAACGCCTGCTGCACGGCCAACACCAGCGTGGAGGCCCACAAGGACCAGTCCAAGCTGTACAACTTCAACTGGAACCACTGCGGGGTGATGCCCGCCAAGTGCAAGCGCCACTTCATCCAGGACGCCTGCTTGTACGAGTGCTCGCCCAACCTGGGGCCCTGGATCGACCAGGTAGGGCCAGCGCTGCTCTCTCTTAGTTGAGACCCTGGAGTCCAACCAACCACGAGTAGTTGAGACCTTGGAGTCCAACCAACCACGAGTAGTTGAGACCTTGGAGTCCAACCAACCACGAGTAGTTGAGACCTTGGAGTCCAACCAACCACGAGTAGTTGAGACCTTGGAGTCCAACCAACCACGAGTAGTTGAGACCTTGGAGTCCAACCAACCACGAGTAGTTGAGACCTTGGAGTCCAACCAACCACGAGTAGTTGAGACCTTGGAGTCCAACCA